TCTTGAAAAATGCAAAAAATATTGACTTTTGTAGAACTTCATGGAGAAGAGAAAAGAACGAGAAGTACTTCCAATATGTAGTGCTTTGATTCATCTAAGAGTATCTATTTACATTAACTAAAAGATAAAGCACAAGTTTTTTTAAATAATAAAAAAATCATCATATCCCAATAAAATTTTTCACCCACATCTATTTATTTTAATATAAATTTTAATCTTTTGTTTCATCTAATCTTAACTATTTGAATTAATCGTATCATACCCTCTTAATTCAAAATAGTTGTAACTTGAAATTATCTTCGAAAAAAATAATTTTTTTTGTCAAAGCTTTTGTAAAAATATCGACAAGCTGATCTTCAATGCTATAGTAGTCTATTTAAATTTCTTTCTTATTAACTGGTTTATGAATAAAATGATGTCAAACTTTGATATATTTGGTGTGCCTATGGAAGATAGAAGATAGGAGAGTTGATATATTTCGTTCATCTTTTTTTTTTTTTAGAGATCTATTAGAATTCTTCGAAACCAAATTATTTGACATATTGTATTTGTCATTGCAATATACTCTACCTCAAAGCTTGAAAGAGCAATATATTCTTGTTCTTTTGTTGTCCATAAAATCATACATGAGTCGAGTCAAGGATGAGCACAAATCCTTATATGTTTCTTGTATCATCTGCACAACTAGCGTAATCACTATAGCTTAAAATCTTTTAGCTACTTTTAGGAACTTATTGATACTCAATACTTTTTTGCTTTATTTATCACAATCAATATTTTCCTTCTTTTTTCTTGAATCCTTTTCAAAACCCAACTTAATAAAGAAATGATTATTTTCCCTTAAGTTCCCTTGATTGCAACTCTATGTCAATTTTGATCTTTTTCTCTCCTCAAACTTCATTGCAAGTAAGGTCTTTTGTTTCTCTTCCTTAGTCTTTTTATATTCTTTCAAAGTCATCAATCTATCCTCTTTCTTTTCTGCTGAGTCATTAGTTGTACCTTCTTTGTTATCTTTGGTCTCTTCGGATAATATTAACTTTTTTTATTCTTATGATTTGTCAATTGTAAACTTGTTATCATCGGATTTTAGGACCTCATTCTTTTTTATACATGTGTCTCATTAGCTATAGTTCCCCAATTACCATGACTTATACCATGGTATTTTATCTCATAGCCGCCATGTGAGATAGTTTTCATAGACCCATAAAAATTCAAATAATCATAGCTTTTATACTATAATGTTGATTCAATAATAATATTAGCAATGAATGCATGTAAGGAAAATTTTGAAATAAATAAGAGAAACACTTTATTTTTCTTCATCCTCATAGTTGCTATCAATTCTTCTATTTTCTTTTCATTAATCAAATATTTTTCATCATAAAAAAATAACATAATATTCTTTTCTCATCAATTGCTCTATACTAATGAGATTTTATTTTAAACTAGAAATAAACATCACATTATCAATAAATTTTTTACCAAATTTCATGTTTAGTTCCTTTTCCTTTCACTTAAATCTTACTATCATTTTTCATATATATAGATTTGATTAAATCATCACGCCTTTAAAATAAACTTTTGTCCACTGTCATATGATTACTACATCCACTATGCAAAAATCAAATAGATTTAGAATATTCTTTATCAGATTCCATAAAAAAAATATTTTTCTTTATCCTTTTTTCACTATTATTTTTTTCATAATAATTTGCTTAATTTTTGTTCCAATAATATTTTTTAAAATGGTTATATTTTTTACAATGAGAGTAGAGAGGAATATTTAGATTTTTATTTTTATACCAACAATCTTTTTTAAGCACTAGATTAACCAATTTATTTTGTAATAAATATATTGATTAGTTTCCTTATTACCTTCATTAGAATTCTTCTGATCCTCATTTGATTGTTCTCGTCCCTTGCCTCAAGCATTAGATCATCCATGACCTTTATCATTTTGATCTTTTTTTTTATATTTGGTTTCTGATTTTTTTTTTGTCCTTTTGATTTATCTTCATCTAAAAATCATGTTCTAAAATTACAAACCCATTCATTCATCAATAGACAATATACTTGTATCTTTAATATCTTCTATGATAGTAGAAATCAAATTAAGAAGAAAAACTCGATAAAACTTTTCTACTATAGTTTAATCTTTTAGATTTTAATCATAAGATCTCATTTAATTTACAATAAAAAAGACTTTGGAGAAAAAACTAACGATAGATTTAGAATCTTTCATCATAAGAGTTTCAAATTCACATTGAAGAATATGAAACTTTGAAGTTTTTACCTAGTTCGTGTCTTTAAATATATTTTTTAATATTTTTTAGGCTTCTATTGATGTTAATGCTATTATAATTCAAGAAAATAAAGACTCATCTATTGCTTGTTGTAGCATATAGAGGGCTCTTATATCTTTCTACATATTTTTATTTATTTGATCTTTTTGATCTTCAGTAATATTATGATCCTATAGTTCATACTCAATAAAACTAATTTCTATTAAATTTTATAATTATTATGAAATAAATAGACTTATCATTTTAACTATCCAAAATTGATAATTTTTGCCTTTAAAGATAAGAAGAAGTTAATTAGAAACACTTACTCTAATGCTCTAATGCTTGTCATCTTTTTTTTTTTTTATCTATTGGTATTCTCTTTTTTTTAATTGATCTACTCCTATTGGTCTTATTGGAATGAGGCTTTGATACTATATTTATTGACTTTTCTATATAACTTGAAACAGTGAAAGAATATAAGTAGAAGTAACAAGTAGTACTTCGTACTTTGAATTCATCCAAAAATACCTAGACAAAAGATATAGTATAAATTTTTTAAATAATAAAAAAATTAACATATCTCAATAAATATTTTCACCATCATCTATTTATTTTAATCTAAATTTTTATTTTTTTATTTCATCTAATTCTAATTTTTTAAATTAATCTTATAAAAAATGAGCCGATAACCCTAATCTATTAATTAAATTTTAGTATATTTCAAAGCTATTAATTTATATGTCCTTCAACCGAATCAAACAAAAGTATAGAATTATAATTATATCATTAATAGGTAGGCGATAGATATTCATATCCTCAACTTTATTTCATAGCGTTGCTCTAAGGTATAAGGAAGACATACAAACCACAATATTATGATAGGGTCATTAAAGGACTACTATATCAATCGTATCACTTCTTTCCATCTCATTAGGTCATTAGTGCTTCCTCTTCGTGATGTCATGTTGTATACGTCAGCTAGAGGTCGTTTGCTAGTGCTAAGCAAGATATCAATTTGTAGCACAAAAATACAAAAAAAATTATCTCCTAAATTTTAAGCTTAAGCCAATGTTTGACTTGTTACTATATTAGAAATATCACATCAAATGGATTGTTGGAAGATATGGACCAATTATGATGTGTGAACGTAGAAAAGACCTTCTTAATTGTGACATCCCATGCATGTGAGTTGAAAAGTTATTCTATCTCATTATCCACTCCAAAAAAAAAAAAATGTATGGTTGATTTCATATGATTTTGCACTTAGATTATGACAAATATAAGGAAATAATATTCGTGTTTATAATTCCAAACCTAATATGTATCACCATCGGTATGATCCAAGCCCTAATACGTCATGAGCATTGCTCACAGGCTTGAATTGTTCTGATGTCATATGTATTTATTACGATATTCGATGATTTGAGCTTGAAATCTATGTGGACCTCCAAAAGATTATCTTCACACTAGAGTTGGATGTTAGAGAAATTAATCAACATCCACATACACACCATGTGAATTCACTACATCAGACATACATGTAGAGAAGAATGCTTTCAGTTAATATGGACATCATTTGATGGGTAATTTGCGTTGAAAACTCTATTATTATTAAGTCTCCAACTGTATGGTGTGACATTTTGTGAATTAAGAGCAATCGATTGATTGAAGATATATATGAACATGAGAGTTATATATCCAATGATCCAAATAACAAGGTGCTTTAAACATTTAATTGTTTGAATAAGTTGGAGAACAGAAACTTTCAATTGATGATGCCTAAAATACGAGAACAATAAGGTAGTCAATAAAATGAGAAGAACAAAGTTTCACAGATATGTAGGTGGTTCGCATTAAATCCTTGATATGAACACATTACTCATGGTCAGAAAGTGGAAATCTTGCTGGGGCCTATATTAATGCTACTTCATACGTGTCAGTACAACGCCTTCTTGTACGACTCATCATAGGAAATACTTGGTGGTCGTGATCCATTCACTGTCAAATCATGCATTTAATCATTGTCAAAATCATGGTGAGAACATAGGAACCTTATCACTTCTCCCATGTATATGGTTGTAACTCAAGACGAGGAATAGAAAATGTTACCAAATAAAAAAAATTGTGAATTCACGTAAAAAATCCTTTTTCGTTTGTTTTTTCGAGAGGTATAATTTTCATATTTCTCATGTTCTCTATTTGTCATAATTCTTGAAATAACACTTACAAGATGATTAAAAGGTCATTCTCTATTTATCATAATCTCTAAAATATCCCTCACAAGATGATTAAAAGATCATGTGGACCGGTGCATAAGATAAATCGATCTAAGTTTTTGATTATAATATTTTTAACATAGAGACAACCAATCCAAATCCATGGATCAGTTTGCTTTATAGACTAGTCTATACGGTCTAACTAAGTGTTATTTTAATTATCTTGTAAAAGGGTATTTCAAAAATTATAATAAATAAGGGGTGTCCTTTGGAAAATATAAAAAGAGGCACCTCCCAAAAAAATTCAAAATGAGAGTCTTTTCTAGCTATTTTGTCAAAAAATACTACTTGAGAATATATATATATATATATATATATATATATATATATATATATATATATATTTATATTTATATAAACGATGAAATGGTCATGCATTGCCGAAAGTTGCTATATAAAGGGGTTGGCTCTCATAGCTTCCTTGTCTATGAGAGCAAGGGAAACCACTTCTCGTTTGGTGTGGATGGAGCACAGCAACCTGCTGGTTTCCACCTCCACTGACCTATCGCACTGTTATCATCACCTGGAGATCAAGGTGATCAACGAAGCGCATGAGCTCACGAGGCAACTACGAGCAGTTCTTCTCCCATCTCTGCCTGCAGGAAGCTTGGCCGACCTCGCCCGAGAGATTCTCGACAAAATCATCAAGTCCTGCTCCTTGGCTGCCTTCATGCTCCAGTCCGGCGGCCATGGCCATCAAACAAGTAAACAGCACGGTGAGGGAGAAAGACCCATGCTTGACGGTCACAAGAAAAGGTCCGTACATCTATAATAACATGCTTAATCCACGGAGGAATCTTCTCTTTCAAAAAAAAAAAAAAACGGAAGTAAAAGGAAGGAGTTTACGATGCAGGAAGTCGCAGAACGCATCGTCCATAGTAACATCTGTTCCGTATGAAGATGGACATCAGTGGACAAAGTATGGGCAGAAAAGAATTAACGGTGCGAAATACCCAAGGTAGTCTCATCATCGTATACATATATACATACATAAATATATAAATAAATAAATAAATATATGTATATATATATGTATATATATTATATATGTATATATATGTATGTATGTATATATGTACAAAAGAACGTCCACATTGATACTTAATCACTTGATTCGATGTTTCCTATTTCTCTCAAGGAGCTACCACAGGTGCATTTATCACAAAGACCAGGACTGCCCAGCAACAAAGACAGTGCAAAGGGTGGATAGGGATGCAGATCCACCAGAGTTTATTGTCGTCTATAACATGCAACACAGGTGCAGATCCAGTGATAGACACATACCATTTGTGATGGAGTCTGCTGAAGCTTCCTTGGTGAAGAACCAGAGCCGAACTGATACCCCCTCCGACGGTGACCCACAGATGACCCACCTGCTACTCTCTGATGAGATATCGAACATATCACTGACTCCAGAGCAGTGGAACCTGGACAACGATTTGGATCCTGTGATGAGCTTGTTTGAGTTTGCTGATGCAGATCCATTTTACAGCAGTGTTCTGATGAATCTACGTTAAAAGAGTTAGGAACGATGCTTATCGCTACTTAGTGCACGACACACGGCTCAAGTTATTGATGTGATGGGTTTATATTATATCAATATCAATATTATGCTGCCCTCTCCTGTGCTTTATTAATTTATTGTCTCATAAGCTAGTTTTATTGTCTAATATTTGGTACTTATATTAACTTAATATAAATTTATAATATTATTTATATTATATTATATACTGCTTTATGTTTTAGTACTTCATTTTATTTAGTTTAATACATTTTATGCTTCTATTTCTATGTACATAGTTATATATATATATGATGTTTATGTATATAATATCATTTGACATCAACCATATGTTATTTGTTTTATTGTTTATTGTTGTAATGGTTATGTTATTTTAGTTCTATACAAATTAAATTGTATATTTTAGTAAGAAAGAATTCTGGGGATTTCCAAATCAAGTGGATTAGGCGTAGAAAATATGATGGATAATTCCGAGTGAGATTCTAACATTTAAGAGGAATTTGATTCTTGCACATCAAATAGCTTAATTGGTAAGTTAAATGGAGGTAACGTAACACCCCCAATCAGCACAAAGTTAGGGATGGTACAATGTCGCAATCCTATAGGTTTGCTTTTAAAAATGCAAGATCAAAATCAAAATTAAATAACTTTTAAAATATAATTATTGTATAATCTAGTTCGTAATTAATTAACCCACAAAAAACTCAATCCACTCGTTGGACATTCAATAGATTCACTAATTCCTTAAAAATTTATAATATTTTAATCCAAAATATATATATATATATATATATATATATATATAATAATAATAATCTCAATTTATAATTGATAGCAATTAAGATTTTTCCAAGAAATATCATTGTTTTGTTTAAGAAAATCTTTCATCCTAACGTGTATAAATATGGAGTACCATATTAAACACAACGATATCTTCTTCCTTTCATTCTTAACAATAATAATCTTAATAGATTAGTTACGTAATTCAATCGGTAATAGTTCCACCATGCTTCTAATTGTGCAACTCAAAACAATTTGAAGATTATTATTGCTAGCAAAACAACATGACTCATAACTCATAACCATATGAGAAAACTACACTTTAATAAACAACATGACTCATTGCTAGCAAAACTTATCATAAATAATTAATTTTTTATATATTTAAAATATACATAGATATTAAATACTTTTCTTATGCTTATACAAAAACTTAGACTTTACATGCATTACAAAATAAAATACTTGAATACAAATCTTTCATTATGCTTATACGACTTACAAATCATCAGTTTTATATACACTTTAAATCATTGACTTTTTCATAATACTTTTCAAAGTAAAATATATTTAAATATATTATTATTAGGAGAAAATATCATTGATATCTTAGTCAACCCAATGTGGTTCGGATTTTATATACATGATTATTCAAGATGCCTCCGTGATAGAAATGATGAGCTCATAAGGTGCCACCTATATGAAAATCGAGGTCGAAAAAGGTTTCTCAACCTAGTCTCTCTAGCGCTCAAGTTAGTAACATAAGGTATATGAGACGGATATAAGTAGTATAAGGAAGTCTTGTTCTCTATGTTAAAGGTGATCTTTTATACCTTTTTTTATTACTTTTCTAGTCATAAATGGTAAGATGGAAGCTAACAATTCCCTTTTTTTATCATAAATGGTAAGAAGGAAGTTTATAATTATCTTTTTGGTCATAAATGATAAGAAGAAAACTTCATCTTCTCCTCCCTCTCTAGGCATCATGTGGCGGTGAAATGTTAGATGATTAGCCAACAATATCTCCTATCATTCAGGTCACCCCCTAAAGGCATGCTTAGAGCTCTTATAAGAGAGGCTTAAAGTGTAGCGTTTAGTTCATATGACATGAGAGCATTCGAGATTTCCTTTGTTGGTTGAGTTTTCTTAACTCACGTGTCTTAGGCATGTTTTGTCCTACATTTCCACTATGATGGATTTCTCTTCATACGGATCAAGTTTTCCCGATGTATATGCCTTGGGCACATTTTATCTTGTGCCTCTATCATGATAGATTTTTTTTCACGCAGATTAGGTTTTCCTAACTCGAGCAAATTTTATCTTGTGCCTCCACCATAGTGGATTTCTATTCACATGGGTTAGGTTTTCCAAACTCATACACCTCTAGCATATTTCGTCTTATGCTTCTACCATAATAGATTTCTCTTTACATAGGTCAGATTTTTTTAACTTATGCGCCTTGGGTACATTTTGCCTTATGCCTCCATCGTGGCAGATTTTTCTTCACGACTCATGCGCCTCGAGCACATTTTACCTCGCACCTCTACTATTATAGATTTAGTGTTTTTCAAGTCCATTGGTATTTTTTGAATCCTTCATCCAATATATTTTGAATCCTTTATCCCATGCTTTTTGAATCCTTAATTCTCTAGCATCCCTATGGATGTGTTCCTAAGGGACATTTGTCTCAATTGTGAGAGGAGAGAGACTAGCTCCTTCCTTATAAATCTCTCCTCACCTCATGAGTGAGGTTTATTATTCCATTTGAGCCTCCAAAGCCTCTATAGAAATCTTCCCGACTTCTTTTTGGTTCCATGTAGGGTGAGTTAGTCCTTGGGTCTCTTATAGTCGTAGCATCGGTTTAGCAATAGATCGGGCTTCTATCATTCTATTTTTGTCTCATTAGGACGGGATGTCTCTTCTCTCATACAAGTTCTTTTCGATCTATTGGGTACTAGACGATTGAGGTCTACACTTTGTCTTTGGATACCTCAAGGGCGAAGAAAGTCCTGACCTCCCCTTCATTGGGGAAGGTAGTTCCCACGAACTCAAAAGTTTTTTGAGACTTAAGAGTCTACAAAAGGCCCACGTGACTAAAGATTTAGTGGTGAGTGCACGACTTCTAGATCACTTAAGAGTTAAGTATTCTATCCCGACTAAGTTCGATTTGTAAGCCCCCCAACTTGGTCAACGTCCATTCGACCCTGCGTCGGGGCTTTTTTGCTTATCCTATAATGCTCTCGAGGTGGGACTTCATCTTCCCCTCCACCTAATAATAGTATCTTGCCTATAATGGTAGACGATATCACCTTCTAAGATGATGCCCAACTCATGATACTATCTAATAATATTCATCGGGGAATGTTGGCATGCCGACACTACGAAGTGTAAGGGAAAAAATTACTACTACTTGATCACTTAAGGGGGCTTTAAAGTTAGTAGAGCCCCTTCCAACCACAAAGGTTAGAAGGAGCAATTCTTCGTCGTAGGTTTAAGTTGAGATTGGGGGTTTGAACTAGCTTAGTTGGCACACTACATGGACAACACACCCCCTTTCTTGTCAAATGAGGAGGTAGATCAAGTGCTTTGACTAAGGGATATATTTTCTTCCTCTAAGGCCATTAGGAAGAAAGATGATGACTAGTTGATTGATATGGGTCTCAGCCTGCCTCTTCGGGGTATGACCCAAACCTTCAATTACTTTACCTCATCTCTCTTTTTAATCCTTTGTAGTCTTGTGATTATGATACTTTACATACATGAATATGCATTTCTTAAAGAGGAAGGTGTTTGGTTCCTCTTTGGGCATAATGGTGGCCTCTTGGACTCCAGCTACTGTCTGTGAGCCATTGGGCTCGACTCGATTTGGCCACCATGCTAGTGCCGACAAGCCGAGAAAGAAGTAGAAGATTATTGTGAGAAAAGTGCCTTGCCCACGAAGGGGTAGGGAACTTGAGGAGCCAGTTCACGATAAGGAGCCTGTTACCTCAAATAACAGTGATCCACAATGCAATGGCTGCAAAGATGCTCCTCAAATTGTTGCTCAAATCTTCTCGCTATGCGCACCAAACAATCGAGAAGGGCTGATCCTTTTTGTTGTCCACACACCCCAAATAGGGGCTGCTAGCTGAAGAGGAGAGGGGGCAAGGAGAATAGGAGGTGGCAGCTAAAAGGGGTCTAACTTATAGCTCTTTGGTTCCCTCTTATATATAGAGGCTCCCTATCAACTTAACCCTAATAGATCTTGTCCTATTGGGTACTGAATCTTTATCTAACTATCCAAGCCTCTTAGATTAGTGGGTCTCTACCCAATAATCTTTCATTAGCTCTTATTAGATCTCATCTATAGGATCCAATAATTAAGGGGCTTATTGGATATCCAATAAGATAGGGGCTTCGACGGATATCGTATATCCGAACCTCTACTCGTCGCAACACCTACCATATGTGTGTGACCCTTTAGGCTCAATATCGAGCTGGCTATGAGTCATACTTATTAGAACTTATTCTTGCTTTGTGAATTATTATCTTCATAATAATTCACTCGACTCATCGACTACGAACTTATTAGACTACTACACCATAATCCCCAAATGATACTGAGCAATCATATCCATTGGACCTATCTATCTTTAGTTACTATATATCTATAGTCTCTCATCCATCTAATATCCCAAAGATAGTATTATTGAATCTCGGATTTTGATAATGAAATCAATTGATAAGTGTTTATGATTTAATCTACGTTTTGAGTGATGCAGGATGTTTCGATCAGGATGAGACAATTAAAGCAAAAAGAATCATATTGGGCCAGAGGAAAATATGTTAGAAGATTGGACGTCAAGTTGGAGGATCGGTCGACGTATCGACAGAATGCTTCGGGCCATGGATTCGGGCATCGAGCCAAGAAGAGCGGATATTGCACCAAGGATATTGAAGTTGTGGAGTCAACTAGCCGATTAGGCAATAGGCCGCAAAAGAAGACGATGCGCCGAAGAATCAGACGAAGTGTCGAGGGACCAATGACATGCCGGACAACATGATTAATGCTTAGTATTAATTGTCTAGATCGAAGTGTATTTTTACATGTGCAGGATTAACTACGATAGCAAGGCATAAAGCAAAATGAAGTCTCGGAGTCAAGGATGTGATTTCGTTGGGAGTTCGAGAGTTCGTCGAAAGTCCATTCGTTCGTCGAAAGTTCTGCAGGAATTAGCCGAGAAGTCCAGGAGCTTGCCAAAGAAGCTCGTCGAAACTCGCTAAGAAGATCGTCGTGAAGTCCAGGAGCTTGCCGGGAGTTCGTTGGAACATTGCCA